TGTAGAAAATATTAGTATTGCTTAGGAACATGAAAGAAACCGTCAAAAGTGTCAAATTTTTTCTTGACCTCACCGTGCAAAAATGCAAAGTACACAGAGATTCGTCGACGGAGTGCAGTAATGAGGCACTTTTTTAAGAGGTAACTTATAAAGGAAAGTTTTCGTATTGATCCAAGGCATATTCGTTGGTGACTTTCGTTGTGACAGTTGTTTTTCTCGAAAATGAAGTTTGATGTTTAAATGAGTCTTAGTATGTGACCCAAACGAACATCTTCGTGAAAAGGAGCGCCTGAAAACTCACTAATTCGATGAATGCCTTAAAGAACAAGCTTATTTTACAGTTATCAACAGACAGGTGATTCAGAATCCGTCTTTATGGGCGATCTGGTGAAAACACTGAAAATCATGAAGTATTTAGCAATATTTCGAGGCCGATCTGAAACTCAACATAGCCCAAAACGAAAGAAGAGTATAAATTAATTTAAAGTAAAAAAGTTCTTTCTATAAACATAAAATGGTATGTTTATGATCACGTCTGCCAGTTTTATTTAAAGTTATTAGGTACCGACCGGCCTCATTGCACGTCACCTTATGAAAACTTTTGATCCTACGACGTTCCCATCGGCGAAATAAAGCAAAATCCAGCTTCTATTGTTGAATCCCATGTCATTTAACTTTAAATCGTTAATGCAATTATGAAACACTAGAAAACTGTTTTGGAATCTACACCCAGAATGTAGGCAGTTGACAAACCGTCATATATGAAGTCATACTCCTTATTTAACGATATTTGGATGTAAACTTCACTGAAACGCTGTTATAAGACGTGATTTTATATCTACTTTCATATTTACTACGTGTTTGGTATGAGAATGCATTCTTTACATCTAAAAACGAAGTTAACTAGATTAGAACCATTTCTGACGTTTTCGGGATAGTGCGCTTTTCAATAAAATCGACATTACTAAACAACGCAACACTGCTTATAATATCTCTTTTATGCCTTTAATTCTTTTAAACTTGTTCGTAATAAACATAGACATTTGACTGATGAAATGGTGTCGGTTTGCGAGTGATTGGAAATCATTCGTAAATTCCGACACATTTCATGAGTTAGGTCACGCACTGTACCCTGCGTTTGTGCACTACGACATCCAAGTGTAAGCGCAATGTGGGCATTGCAAGTAAAGTAAGCCGAAGGAGGATGTTGAAGTCGTTAGTGGGGAAGCAGCCAAAGCTAAGACGGTAAAGCGAAGCCCGACGTTTCGATTTAGAGGTTGAGTTAGTTTTTGGGTTTGGGTTAGTGTCAGGCTGAAAACTGAGTTTAGAGTTAATGATTTTTGTTAATTTTACGGTTTCCGTTTAGAGTTAGGGTTTGGATTTGGATTGCGGTTTGGGCTTACGTTTATTGTTAAGGTTGGGGTCAGGATTAGTGTTAGGGTTAGGGAATGGTTACGGTCAGTGTTAGGGGTAGGGTGGGGTCACGGTTAAGGTGAGGGTCAGGGTGATGGTTAAGGTCGGGGTTAGGGTTAGAATTTGGGTCAGGTTTAAAGCTGGGCTTAGGGTTAAGGCTAAGACTTGTAGAAGTTTAAGGTTAAACTTATTGTTAAGTTTAGGACAAGCGTTAGGTTTATAATTACGTTAAGGATTAGGTTTACTTTCGAGGTTACGGTCAGGTTGACCGTTAGGTTTGCTGCTCCGAATTTCCTGTTAGCTATGTTTTTGCGGGGATTCTAGGCTCCCTTCAATCTCGCGGCAGATTTATCATACATCAGGTTGCTTTTCCGTTTCAGCCTCGGCTGCTGTCCCCACCAACGATTTCAGTATCCTTGCGCGGTTTACTTTACTTTCAATGCCCATGTAAGAGAAAAACCCGCTAGTTGGGCACAGCGAGTAGGCTATCCGGTAACTAATTAAAACAAAACGGACTTAAATGTCACTACATCCACGTTGCGCACACACTTGGGACGAGGAAAACGTAATCGACCCTTGCCGGGAAAGTACTTTATTCACCTTCTTCGGATTCGACAAAAGGAAATTCGGGAAAAAGATCTACTGATTTTAACCCTTAACACCCAGACTGGGCGAGCCAGAGATCTTCATTCACTGAATATATATGTTTAAAATCAGACGCATGACATGCCCCGTAGTTTGGTTTGTTTCCTTCAATGGTAGTGAAAATGCGATTTCCAGGTGGCATATCAAAAGAAGGAGAAGCAGAGACTTTCACCGGGAGAGGTTCGTTGGAGGTCTACAAGATGGGAGGTCCATAAACTAGAAAGTCATGCGCACAGCCCTCACCGTATGGCTCACTTTGTTTGATGCATGGCCGCCAATGCCGCCTGTGTGCCTACATCCGACCCGTCAATTATCTCCGCGATCTGGGAGGGCTGACTTGACTCAGGTTCCGGTGAAATGCCGGTCGGATGCAGCCAGCGTTGGAAGCGTTGGCGGGCATGCATCAAACAAAATGCGCCATTTAATGAGACCTATGGGCAGGACTGTCTAGTCTCTGAAGACGAGTGGGCGAAATAACTGCTTCAAACGTCAGACCTCCAACGAACCTCTCTCGGTGAACGCCTCTTCTTCTTTTGTTTCGTTTCACCTGCGAAAATTCTTCAAAAAAGTTCAGATCCCTTACCTAGGCTGATTATCTGTCAGCAACTGGGAGGCTCTGTTGGCGGGATTTTCAACGAAGTTTACAGCAGGGGCATGCTTACACTTCCCTGACACTCCGGCTCAGACCAAGTCACTTTTACGGGACTCCATCTTCGACAATTTCCTATTTACATTAATCTGGTTCACCACCTACGGAGTATAGTGCTAAAGACTTCTGTCTTGCAGACTGCCTTAGAGAGTTAAATCGGCAAAATTTTAGGCTAAGTCACCCCCCGCCCCCCAACTAGGGTTTTCAGGACCACCAACTTTGCTGCGTTGCCGTCTGAGCCACTTGGAAGCAGCTCCAAAAAGGGACGCCTTGCGCGGCCATGATTGTGGGTGTAACTTGTTCACCACAGCAACTTACGGCCAAATTCCAGGTAGAAGGCGTTTGTGGTCTGTGTCTAGCCATTCCCCCCCCCCTCCGCCCCCGCGTGTTGACTCAGCCAAGTAACAAAAGCAGCCTGAGCACGAGTGCGTTAACCCCCCCCCCTCAAACGAAGCTGTTCTCCAATGGATGCCTGTGCTGTGCTCAGTCCAGTGTTCGCCGTCGTCGCTGATTTGTCAGTTGAATCAAGGTCGTTTGCGTGCGCCTGCTACAGTTACTGCCGTGTGTGTGTGCGGCGTGGTTGCTAACCCGAAAGTGAAGTGTTGACCTAACGCCTTCAAGGCACCAAGCCTCACCATGTTTTACCAATGCCTTACCGGTGGACACATATGTCAGGCACATACTGTACAGTTAGGGCAGAAGTCTATTTATAGAGAAGGAAATGTAAACAATGTGTTTGTTGTTACGACAAGTGGTGCGCCTCTACGCATACGTGTCGTTTTGCACCAAGCTATCTGTTTGGAAAAGTTGAATTTTAATGTGAGTCGACGGGAGAACAAGAGGCCCTTCGCCATCTATGGAGATTTGTCCGCGAACTTGCAGGGTGTTAACAGCGTCAGTCAGAATTACTGGGAGAGTAAGACCGACCCTAAATGGTAAAGGATTGGAATCCTACTAGCAGCATTCGCACAGACAAGTACAACTTGGAGAGGGAAAGTAGGAACTCAGTTCCAATAAAAATTGAAGCAGCTGGTGGAGAGTCCGAGGGAGAAGCAGATGGGGCAAGGGTCGATTACGCTGTCCCGGCCCCAAGTGAAAGTGCAATGTGGGCATTGAAAGGAAAGTAAGCGAAGGGGAATGCTGAGATCGTTACTGGGGAAAGTAGCCCAGGCTGAGACGGGAGAGGCAGCCTGATGAATGAAAAATCTGCCACAAGATTGAGAGATAGCCTAGAATCCTCGCAAAAGACCTGACTTGCAGGGCACGCAGGGCAGTAATACCCCCAACTTAACGGCATACCTAACCGCAACCTCAAAAGTAAACTTAGCCCTTACCGTAATTATAGACCAAACGTTAACCCTAAACTTAACACCAAAACTAACCCCAAACCTACCACAAACCCTAGCCCTAAGCCTGATCTCGACCCTGGCCCAAACCCTAGCTTTAACCCTAAGTTCAGCCGTAACTCCACCCTAACCTCAACCCCAAATTTAACACTAAACGTAAACCTAAACCCTAATCCAAACCCCAACTCTAACCGGAACCCTTACCACAGATCCTAACCCTACACTCAGTTCTCATCCCTACACTAACCCAAATCCTAAAATGAAATATCAACTTGCCATTTTTCGTTTCAACTTTGGCAACTTTCCCACTAACGATTTCAGCATCCTCTATCGGCTAAATTACCTTGCAATGCCCACATTGCGCTTAAACTTGGTGCCAGGACAGCGTAACCGACCCCTACCGCAGATGGTGTGTTGTTGTCCGAAAGCAGTTGTTTGGAGGTAGACATGCTACAGAGTGGAGTCAGGGCCTTACGCGGAAGGAAAGCGCGACCGCGCACGACGCAGCCAGCTGTGAGATGCACGTGTTAAATCAGCTAGCCAATCTGCGTGAACTACAGCCTGATGAGTCCTTGCTCGCGTGTGTAACCCAATCAATGGTCTGCTCGAGATTTTTCTGCGAGGGGGTTATCATGCAAGAAACAGCCAACGTACGGCCACCACGCCAGAGCGCAGTACCATCTAGAATCGTCAGGAGGCGAACAAACAGGGTAGATTGCAGTGTGTGTTTGACACCCTGTCGCCCTTATCAGCCCGTCGAGGCATAGACAGAGGCTATGTGCTAATGGACTTTTAATGTTTATGGAAGTCGAAATTAAGATTGGTCCCGCCAAATGTTGGCTTGGCAGGACCAATGGGTGCAGGGACAGCAGTTATTTTGGGCCTATTCATTATTCGCTTCAGAAAATAATACTATAGATAGACACTCAACGGTTCCACCGTCGCGAATGATGATGCCCACCATGCGCCTCACAGATTCACAGCTTGCGCGTAAATTAGTTTAGAGTGATGGTAGACTTTCGTTGAATTTGCTGCACTATCTCCTCCATCAACCACCAGGGTCTGATGTCGTGACCGAGTCAAGAAGACCAGAGGCTGGTTCGGTTGCAACGGTTGACAAAGTTATGTAGTGGTAGGGGGCGTTTACGGATCGTTATCACGGAACTCACTCGTTCCGTTGGGCCTTACGGGCTCTCTCTCAAGCCCAAACCGCAGCCGCAGAGCGGCGCACGATATAGGCAGAACGGCATTACCGACGAAGACAAGGGAGACTGGAATGACCATTTCTGGCTTATTAGCCGTCGTCAGCCAGTCATACCCAACCCCGAAGTGTAGAACACCCGAGACTCGAACTCGCGACCTGGTAGCTAGAAGTTCACACCTCTAACCACTGGGCCTCGAACCCGTTGCCCTGCCGGTTTTTGATCGGGAATATACAATGGTAGGATGCGCTCACATGCGATGATCCGATCATGCGACCCTGCGTGGCTGTTGGTTGGGCTCGAGAGAGAGCCCGTAAGGTACAATGGAACGAGTAAGTTCCGTAAGACCGGTTGATGAGCGCTCCCTACCGTTGTTTATTCCCGATAAAAAACCGACAGGGCAACGGGCTCGTGGCACAGTGGTTAGAGGCGTGGACTTCTAACTAACAGGTCGCGAGTTCGAGTCTCGGGTGTTCCACACTTCGGGGTTGGGTATGACCGGCTGACGACGGCTAATAAGCCAAAAATGTCTATTCCAGTCTGCCTTGCCTTTGTCGGTAATAACATCAAGCTATTTAACCCGTCTACGTGTGCCACGCACGCCTGGACTGCTCATGACGGACCAGGTTCTCAAAGAACCAGGCGGGAGGGCGGCTCGGACACTATCTGAATGGGGATGCCATGCAGGTCACATTAAGAAGGAGCCATTGGAGCCTGACTCTTCGTTCTGAGTGGAGGACCGAGTAATCCCGTCAGCTGGAGGCCTTCCAGAGCACGGCTCTTAGCCCACAGTGGTAGTTAAAAAGCGCGCCAGATTGTTTATGGTGAAGAATATGTGCTGAGTGTTATGGGGACAGAGTTTCCAGAATCGGCTTCACTTTCACTTTTCTCTCCCGGTACCAGTCCGCCGTTTTTGCCGGTCAGCCGTCTGATGAGGGGATTGGGCGCAGGTGGTCGGCAGAGTTAGACAGCCCGTCTGCGCGTGCCACACACGACCTGGCCTCGAATTTTCGCTCAGAGGAGCAATAGTGATGGAGGAAACATGTGGTCGTTTCAGGGCTTCCGTTCTAGGATCCAACAGTCCCATAACAGCAATTTTGTTTGTTGTTCCGACGTATTACAGGCGTGATCGCTGCGTTTGATATTCGGGCCCACACCCGTCACATGCTGTAACGTTTCTGGGCGGTGAGTTACAAACACGAAATATTGTATGCCCACGAATCCAAAGTAGTAAGAAGGAATCCGTATATGTTGCGACAGGTAAAGAGCTCAAATTACTGGATATGAAATTACCAAATCGTAAAGACCAGTTCGTCAGGCTCAGTTAAGAACCGCAGCTTAGGAAAGAACGTCAGAATGAACACAAAATTCCCGACTGAGGGGTTGCTTGACTTCTTAAAGCAAAATATTGAACTACCTAAATCGTCAGGCAGAGACAAAAGGGTACAATGGAAGAATTTAAATGACTGACAGTGATTTCCGAAAAGTGATCAGGATTTTCAAGAGCAACAATAGTATATCGACAAAGTGCTGGAGAATGAGATGCGGAAAGACGGACAATGCACATGCTGTGGGGTTGAATGGAAGTCATTTTTAGCATGTGGAACTGTGCCCACTCTACGCAGAGACAGCACAGAAAAAGAAGAAGAAGAAGAAGAAGAATAGGAATAAGAAGAAGAAGAAGAAGAAGAAGAAGAGGAAGGAGGAGAAGAAGAAGAAGAAGAAGAAGAGGAAGGAGGAGAAGAAGAAGAAGAAGAAGAAGAAGAAGAAGAAGAAGAAGAAGAAGAAGGGGATTCTAACAGCGCCCCATCATCAAGCCAGGTGGTCACCTTTTCGAGGTTCAAATCACTAGAAGACGGAGTTATTTTTTTCTGCGAGGCAAATGGGCCGGGTATAAGTTTGTGTTAGCGTACTCCTTTCGTGTCCCCCAAACGGACCACGTGGTAAATGCACTGGATCAATAAGTGGGTCCTATCAGGTCCTGGCAGGCGTTATCGGAATGCGCACCATAACAAACGCCAACATTTCGGGGTGCGGTGGCAGACAGGTTGCCCGCAGACTTCGCGCG